ATGACCGTTTCCCTACCAAAACCGCCCTGAAAATGTGTAAAAAGTAAACAAAAAACAATCCAAATTCTTTCAAATTAAAGTTTGGGCAAAGAGACAGGCTTTTTGAGAATTTGTCGTGGTTGCCTGCCTGCAAAAGGGGTCTATAACATAGGAGGCCACATTTGGCGTTGAACTAGCTGCTTAAATATTCTTGATCCTGAACCCCAAGGGCTTCTTACCACAAACACTCTGGCAGCCCCAGTTTCATGCCGTTGCGCTTCTGTGAGTCTACTCTAGGTCCTGTGACGTCACTAAGCATCCTCTATTTTGTGAATTGGGATGTACAGGAAACCTAACTCTCTTCAGTCTGTGGAAAGGCCTGGAGTAGAGGTGGAAGGAAGCTGCTGAAGGCAATATTCTGGCATTGAGTTGACTTCGAAGCAAGGAAGAACATCTGGATTTAGCCACTTTTAAAGAATCTTCCCCCCACTCCTATCTTATACTATATAGATACTAGAAAATGTATCCCGGAGCTGGAAATCATTGAGTTATAGGCCTTCTACCTTTCTCTGTTTCGATAATTTCTACTGATGTTTAAGACTCAGCTCAAGTGACATTTCCTGGAAGCTACCCTCCCCAGCATCCACTCTGAGATCTATCCCAGAATAGATAAAGGGCCCCTCTCTACTTTTCCCTTGCTTTCTGTGAAATCCTCTATTGCAGTATAATTCCACATTGAATTACAAAGTTATCATTGTCTTCCCAAATACGGGCCCCCCTCTGTCTGTTTCAGGGTGTATTCCCATTACTAGGCATAAGCCCTGTCCCTCATCAAGCATGTTTACTGGACTCAAGAATGATATGCTTAATTGTGCCTAAAGGTGATAATATTGTTTAAAACTGCATTATAAGTCAGAAAACCTTGCTTTGGTGTTCAGTCCGCTACAATTTTAGGCAAGCCTACTAACTTCTTGGTCTTAATGTTCAAATCTATAAAAATTGGGAATAGTTAAGTTATTATCATTTACCATATAGGATTGAGGCAAAGATTAAAGGATAGACTGTAGGTAGAATGCTTTATCAAATATAAATGTATCAATTAGGTTTTCTTATTTTATCATTTTTGAGATTTCTGTATCTGTGTATCATACAATCCTACAATATCCCCGTAAGGTAAGTACCTACTATTTTTCAGAGAAAGACCGAGAAGCACAAAGAATTTCATTAACTTACAGAAGATCATGTAGATACTAGCAGTGAAGCTTAGACCTGAACGCAAAGCCTCTTAGTCACTGATCTTAAGTGTTTCCTAACACTGCGTCCACTAAGATTCAACACGAGTGAGACTTGTTTCTAGCTTTTCTTTCAAGTCTATAGTGTAATAACAGCAGTTTGCCCCCATATACTTCTAAGAAAAGTTCAATTTGATCCTGCCCTGCCTAGTTCTCAGTGCTCTTATAGAGCTATTTCAGACGATGCCTCTTTATAGGGGCCAGGAGTGGAATGCAATATCAGAAAGCTGTTTCTTAAAGTCTCTGACGTCAAGGACAGGTGGCATCCTTTAGTCTATGAGCAGTGCAATTGGAGTTAGATATTCTAAAGGTAAATCTCAGCTCAGCCAGTAAGTAACATGTCTTGGAATGCAGCTTCGCTTTTTGGAACCTCTTTCAGATTTTTTTCTCATCTTTAAAATTGGTGTAAAATCTTCCTCTTTTGAATATTACTGTGGGAGATTCGATGAGTCAAAAGTACATGAGAGCACTTTGCAAATTATACTGAAAGAGGGGCAAGTAACTATCACTTTTCCGCGGATGCAAAGTCCCCTTCCAGCAAACCATTTAATATGTATATATGTACAAAAAGTCAATGAGATAATTTCCTGAGCATTATAACCAACCAGAAGTCCAGATTGCTATAGGAAATTGGTAAAGATTCATTAAGATGGCTGTTCAAGTTTGAAAGGGTAGACAGAGCACGGACATTGAGGAAGGAAAATGACATTGTTCCACTTAAAAGGAAAGTACAGTGTCCTTTCTTAAAGGCCTCCCAGCAATGCAGGTAGGCTCTCCTATGAGACACAGGGTATATTCAATTCAGACAATGAACAACCTCACTTAAAACTTACAAAATAGCAAAACCATCTGAGAATATTTAAATATAGGATGATATTTTGAGTCTGTGATTCATTCCACACAGCCATATATCCCTGGGAATTTGGTACAGAACTTGGATTAGTGATATCAGTTACAGTTCTACTAAATCATCACCCTGCTCCACCAGGGATTAGTGTAGAAAGGAGCAACAGAAATGTGTCACCAATAGGAAAACAGAACAGACTTTTTACTTAAAGACAGCATAAAGACGTTGTTGGGAAGATCCCACTGTAACTCTCTGTGTGGAAGTGATAGATTCAGAAAATCCAAATCTCACCTGTGAACTAATAGGGAGGGAACTGTGATGGCTCCAGAGGGCAAAGATGAAGGAAATAGAGCAGCACTGTTCACGATCTTCAGTCTTTGAGGAAGATGGGCCTTGTTCAGAGCACAAGTTCAGAATGACAGGACAGCATAAAATGCTATGGGTTTTCAAATAACATTAAAACAAAAACGGTGATACCAAATAGCCATATAAGTGGCCTTCTCCTGATTAATCACAGGATTCAAAGCTGAAGAACTGAGATTCGAACAGCCTCCTGGCAGGGATGGACAAAATTTAACCTGACCTTAAAGAAAGAGTAGCAAAAAGGCATTTTCTATTTTTAGTGTTTTTGTAAGTAGTTTAGAGCTCCTCAGAAAGGAGTGAGGATTGCCAAGGAAGCTAATGGGAAGTAGCCCAGGGACTGGTCATTTCCTTAAGAGATAGGAACATCTATCTGAGAGGTTTCAGTAACATGAAAAGGAATGTGTGCTTCCTACAATTTTACTTTATCTTCAGTTTAGTAGGGAAAATGCACACACCTCACAGATCTGAAGTTTTGGGGGAACTGCTTCTGTCCACCTTCCTAGATAGCAGTAATGAATTCACACCTTAGATACAGATGGAGAAACCAAATTGTTTAACATGGAAATTGCTAAACTAGCAGTGGTCCAGGGAGCTTCCATATTAGGCTAAACCTGTCTTTCAAGATTTGTGGGCTCTGGTGAGTTTTTATGTATTTCTCCTTCTTATTTTATAATTACAGGATGCCCTAAGTGATAGTGCCCACATTTTTTGAGCCATTTTATTTAAGTCCTTGTAGGTTTGATGCCTTTTGGCACATTCTAGCTCTAACCTCCTAAGAAGAAGCTTCTAGTAAGAGACAGGGATTGAGGTGAGCTGTAAATTGGGTACCTTTAAAAATGTGAACTAGCCTTAGGTTGGTCCTCACATAATGAGGTGGAAGACTCGGGAGGATGGGCTTGAGAGGACAGATTCTGATGAAAGGAGCAGGATGTAGAGGTGAGGGTGTGCAGGAGATGGTAACTCAGACAAGGCTGACTGCATTCTGCCTCATACAGTTGTGCTTAATGATGGGGATATGGTCTAAGAAATGTGTGTTAGACAATTCTGCAGTTGTGCAAACATCACTGAGTGTACTTACACCTAGATTGTACTTTTCTATGACTGGCAGCAAAGTAGGTTTGTTTACACCAACATCACCACAAACGTGAGTAGAGCCCTACGCTATGACATCACTAGGTGAAAGGAATTTTTCAGCTCCACTGTAATCTAATGGGACTACTGTTATATACGCAGTCCATCATTGATTAAAACGTCATTATGTGGTGTATGACTGTACTTGATTTTTGCAGGATGATGTTTTTACAAGCATGTGTGTAATTGACCATGACCGCAATTTTAAATAGTTTCTCATATAAATCAGCCAAAGTGATTTAAAAAAGTGATTCTTATCCAGAAAACTCCATATTTAGGTCTGCTTAACTGAGATTTTGAAGAAACTCTTTAAACCTCTCTGTGCCTTGGTTCTCCCTATATGCTAAGTGCAAATGTTTAGACACTAGCATGTTTTCAGGTGCACAGGTAAAGAAAGTATCTAGCTCTCCAAGAAGGACTGAGGAAATAACATGAGAGCTCAACATAACACAGCTTACAAATTCTCTGAGCTTCACCAACAGCCAAGGAGCAGAGCCTTTTCTTACATTCCTCTCAAGTTCTCTAGAGCATTAAGTTACAACCACTGGTTACCAACAAATTCTTTTATGAAGATAGCTATCAAAATCTGTTCAAACCATCTGTTTCTCTGGCTGTTTTTCCTTCATGTGTTCCTTGCTAACAACAAAAAATCTATTCTAAAATAACCAAGATGTTAAGACTGAAAATGCCAGAGGTATATATCCAGTTTATGAGAAAAAATTGCTTTCTAAGGAGGAGTTAGCTTTATCTTGTGTGGAGGAAGGCAGTGTTTCCACAAATATTATACTTGTGCTAAGAAAATAACCAACTATTTTCATTAAAAGAGTATAAGACAAGATTTGTATTCGCTCATGTAATTGAATTTAATGCTGCTGAAATTTGTCAGACCTGAAAGCTATTAAACTGTAGACCATATTTTTATATGAAGAAAATTGCCTAAGAAATTGTCTCTCAGCTTATAGCAGATCTTCTGCTGACCTCCAAAGGCCACAGGTCAATCATTCTCTGCATTTGCATAATGCCTAGCACCATAGAGTGCCACCAGGATTAATTTTTTTTTTTTTTTTTACTTTTGAGAGGAAGACTATGGGAGGCAGTCAATGTTTATGGAGAAGCCCTGGTTATGACTTGCCTACCAATTCAATGTTTTACATTTGGTGTCTGCTGTCCGAATGTCAGCGACTTACATTAGTTAACTAAAATGTGCAGCTGCTTGTGATTTCATTCTAGCCAATGGTTTTGCAAGTGGTTTTTCTCTCTCTGTAGTCAAGTAGCTCACTTTCTCACCTATACATCTCCAAGGTCACATATCTTAAAAATTTCAGATTTTCTGCAGAACCTCCATTCTATATTTAAGATGTCCTTAACATGCCATCCTTCTCTCTCACCTGGGTTCACCTTGGTTGATGGACATATAAATCTCCCAAGAATTCTCCTCTAGGATGGCGCCATGTGGTATGAGTAAACTCACCCCTAAAATAGAAAAAGCCAAAAGGTTATTTGTAAATTTTCCAATTATCTTAAAAAGCACTTCAGTTGGACACCTTACAGATACTCACAAAGAGGACCACCTCATAGAAATTTGTGAAATCCTGATCCTTAGTTTATAAAGTCCAAATAATAACTGGGAAAATATCTGCTAACAGTGACATAAAGAAGGACATATTATTCGACTGTGTATTCTAATTATTTTTTTATTTAGTCTTCCTAGAATTTTTTCATTCTCTTAAAAAACTGGGCATCATGGACTATCAAACATATCTGAAAATATGAGTTTATCAGTTTATCAGTTAATCTTCAAAATTTAAAAATGTGTCTCTCTAGTCTCTATTCATTCATTTCCTGCAAAGGTATCTGGGATGATGGGTGAGCAATGTAACATTTGCTAGAGGCTGGTATGAAATTGTCTTATAAATTGTGCATCTTAAAGTAAGTTTAGGGAGATCAGTAGAGTACTGCATTTTGTTAAGAAAACTGAAGAAAGAAAAAGCCTGAATAAGCTTAGGCACCTCATAGTTTGTTGTATATTTGGTCCTATATTTGCAAACAGAAGCTAGAAAAGGTTAAGGTTAAAGGTGACTTAACTACGTTCGTGTCACTGTCAAACTGAAAAAACAAACAAACAAACAAAAAACCCAAAACAGTAAAATCATGTAATGCAGGGAGGAAAGGCACAGGAGGGCATATCACGCCGAATCTGAAATGTTCCCTCTCTTCTTGAATGCTGTGAAGTAAATATTTCACTTTGGCCAAGAGCGAAGAGCCTAGAGAGGGCAGAGATTCTCCTTAATGTAGCTTCTTGTTTATAAAAAATGAAATAGAGACACAATAAGATCTTTACAAAATAAAAATCTCAAGGCATCCTTTTATTCTTTGAGTAATGCAGCTCTCACCTTTCCTCCTTTCATTAGAGCTAATGCAATCTCACGGAAAGCTTTCAGGTTGCTGATGATAATTTAAATCTAGAGATGGCAGACTTTACTGATATCCTTCTATGTGCCTGTTAGTTGCTATAGAATCAAGGAATGCAAGACTCATTGCAAAACAAGTTATTTGTGATTCACATTTATGAGCATTATTCAGTAACATGCTAGTTATCAGCAGCAGCTTTCACTAGCACTAAGAATGAGGCACATTTAAATCTTGCTTACAGCTTTTTCAGCAAGGGTATCCATTTATATTCTGGACATTGATGCCAAGAGTAGAACTATAATTGCTATACTTAGGGGCCTCTGATCAGGCTTCTCCTTTCATTGTCCATTCTTCCTTAAATGTAGTTGCCAAATGAAGTGGCCTCCATTACTCCTTCCCTGCTGCTGAGCAGAAGTTGTAATACACGGAGCGTTCAGTGTGTGTGGATGTCAACCTGAATACACACCCTAGACGTTGTGTATTCGCTCCCAGTTGGACACAGTGCTTTCTCTCTGTTGTCTCTCATTTAGACAATCTAGGCCATTATGACAAGAGGCTATTATCAAGCAATAATGTTATCTTAGGAAATTAACCCAAAAGAATAACTATATGCTCATATTTTTCTTTTCCTGTGTTCTCTTTAGTGCGGTATAATTCACATGCAATAAAATACACCATTTTAAGTGTACAAATTGAGTTTTGATAGATGTATGCTCTCACATACCCATCATTGCAATCAAGATACAGAGCATTTCCACTGCCACAAAAACTTTCCTCGTGCCCTTTAGAAGCCAGTGCTTTGACTGTGAGCCCTAATTGTCACTTTTTTGCTTGCCGACATGTTGATTAGTTTGCTTATTCTAAACTTGCAAATGAAATCATGGTGTAAAAAAAAAAAAAGCAATAATGGCTTATTCCATTAATAACATGTATCACAATATCTGGCACAGAGTAGGCCCTCAAAAAACAAATCATGAATATATGAATGAAAGAATAGTATTCAAAATTCTGTAAAAAAAAAAAAAAAAAGGCCAGGCTTTGAGATATGCTATATTTCATAAGTCACAAGGGCCTGAAGGTCGACTCTCAGTTAAAATCAGAATATGTGTGTAGACTTTTGAGAAAGGACTGTATATGGAGCAGATCACATCTCATTCAAATTTTTAAGTCAGCTTAATTCTCTGTTTCAAATGAAACGTTATTTCATAATACTCCTAAATTCATCTTGGAATCTACAAGATCTGGAGCTTTAAATTCTTTCATCTTTCCTCCAGTCAGAAATTGTATGATTATCCTTTGAACGTACTTCCTTCTTTCCAGCCAGACATGCAAACTGTATATGGAGACTGAAGATAGTCCAACAGAAGCAAGGGTTGTGGCAGGGTGGTAGTGTTGGTGGCAAGTTCTGTTTTATAAAGGATGAAAGGTACTGTGGGAAATCTTTATGCCTGTGGCCCCCTAAAGAAGTATCCATTTTGAATATGTCATTTACTAGTTATCTCTGATTAAAGAAAAATATACTCTTCCCCAAACTCCACCTGCTACCTTGACAGCTTGTTGTTTAATATGACACCAGAACCACCTGTCTGAGTTTCTTGTTTCATATTTTGCATAATAAATGATTTCTAGTGTGTGGAGACCACCCCAATCTTTTTTGAGAGATCATTGCCAGGCACCAGACAACAATTTGGGATGGATAGCATTAGAATGATTTAATTGCTGTGCCTCGCTTCTCTACACTTTAGCTCCCTCGGGCATATTTTGCATTTATGTTCTGCAAATAACAGAACATATGTTTCAATTCCTTACATTTATTTTTCCTCAAACTCATTCCCAGCGAACAGCTTCAATCTTGTGTGAGGCTTCTTGGTAGGAACTTTAAAAAATGCCCATCCACAGAGGAAGTGTTTGGGCATCAGAACTTTTCATTTGCAACACAGGTGCTTCTCAAGTCAGAATGGAAGAAAAAGAAAAATCGGTTTTCATCATGATTTCATCTCACTTTCTTTGATGAACATTAAACGAACACAGCCAATGAAAGGGTTGATCTTGCCATTCGCTCCAAATGTGTATAAACACACACACATACTTACACACTAACAAATGAGGACAGGAGGAGAGAGGGGAGGAGTGTGGGCCAATTTATTCAACCAGTAACGACTGAGAGCCCTTTGAGTGCCAAGCACTGGGTTAGAAGGTGGAGATATGACAAGTACATGATAACTCAGTGTGCAACTTCTATGGTTACTTCGATGGTTCTGATGAATATATTCTATTCTCTTTGAAAGGACAGGGTTTGGATCTTTTAGTTTTCTTTTTCCAGTACCCATACTTCTAGTTCATAGATTCTTACAAAGAGAATATTTGGTAAGTATGGCTGACTGACACATTCTACATTGATCTATCTACTGATATCACCAAGGAGGAATACATCACACACTGACATTTATACAATGATGTGCATACATATTTAAACAAGGATCCTTACCACATCCTAAAACACTGACTAAGAGATATTTAAGGAATTGAAAGGTTAGGAAAAAAAAGTCATTATTAAGGCTGCATTTGAAGGCTACATGCCTGAAATGAAGATTTGAAGGAAGCGATTGATATAGAACAAGATAGCATTCATCAACTTGAAACGAATTGCAGTTTTAAGTCACTAAAGCTAATAGAGGGGTCAGTCAACTAGAGTGGTAGCACCAGACTAGTCCAACTACAGATTACATTTTACAAAATGAAATGTTTCACTTGGAGAGGCTGGTTAGCTCTACTCTAGACAGAAGTCCGATGGGGCCCTGTGGTCCTGGCACGATGCTAACCTGTCGTCTAGTAACAACACTTGCTGACCCAGGGCACTCTTTTTTTCTCTCAGTAGCCAAGAGCAATTAGTCAAAGCACTACCTAATTCTTGTTGCTTAGAAATCAGAGGAGAGATTGCCCTCTTCTGCCATCCAGTTAGGTGTTAGATGGCAACTCTGAAGACTAATCCATGGGTAGAATGCCATTTTAAAAGTGATCTAGGCTGTGTAACCTTAAGTATCCTTGTCAAAATAGCAACAAACAACAACAACAACAACAAAAACCTTTCTTTGAACAGAAAGGAGAAAAAATTTCTTGAGAACTAATTGTATTGGGAACTGAAATTTTAATTCAGAAGAACAACTCCATAATGATCCCTCATCATTGCCATCATAAAGTAACATTATATAAAGGTCTGTGGACACTGACAGTGTTTATTGGATCAGTTACAGAGGAAGTTCAATTCTGAGTGTCATTTCACTAAATTATCTACTAGTGCATAAACCATGTTTGGCTATAAACATGGTATTTGTCGGTCACGTCGAAGAATGTTCTCAGTGCTTACTTATCATGTTTTAGGAAATATATTTCAAAGGGGCTTAAACTCTGGTGACCATACAAATCTTTTGAGCAATATGGCTGTCAACTCTAATAGGACATCAAATGGTCTGTTTGGTCCACACTGAGATGAAGACTGCAAAATCTAAGCTCAGAGTTGGTTCTGGTTCGCTATTGTAAATAAAGTAGACCGATGGAGCCATGGTCTTCGTAGCTCTGACAAGGGGATGATAAACATCTTAAAAAACGAATCTGATGCGGTCTAATTGTATAAATACAATAATGTTTAAATAAATGTTAGAAAACACACAAGCGCACACTTACCACCCACCTGTATTTGGCATTACTAAGCGTCCTCCTAAATGGCCAAAGACCCCAGTTGTCCTCAGTTCTGTTCTTGTGGGGAGTGATGACAGATTCTGGATATAGGGCGTTTTATTTCTAGGATGCATTGTACTGAAGCTGCGGTTGTTCCCATGGGGAAAAGTCCCGGAATGGTTCTTGCCATGGTACTCGGCTCTCTCAGATACTCCCAGCGAAACCATGAATGAGCTCTGAACTTTGACTTTGATGTCTGACAAAGGGTTAAAGAGTGAGGACTCTGTCATGAGTTCCTTGTCCAGAGGATCCTGTAGACAGATGGGTCCACTGTATGTTCGGCTCACTGTCAGGTCTGGTTGCATGGAGGAATTCAGGAGCAGAGAGTTACCTGGTAAAAGAAAATTGATCTGTCACTCAGAAACTAAAAAGCACCAGTTGCCCCTTTACATCTGCTTCTACTAACTGCACAGCAACCAGTGTGCCTGCCTGCTCCTCCAATCAGAGCTAGCCATTCAGGGCCATTTGGTGTGTCTACAGTGACTGTTAGACTGGTCATTAGTGACCAGAGCTTTGGAATCTTGGAGTCTGGCTTTCACTAGTGATTCTCTGAATGCTACTGACAAAACAATTTTCACTTTCTAGAGTTCCTTACATGATATCTTTTTAAAATAAGTATTTCTGGCACTCCATCAGGCAACTAACTCAGGTATTTTTGTTTATGTGATTTTAACTGGCAAAGAGAAGCTTAAAAAGAAAGATGTTTTATGATCCAGTTTGGAGCAAAACTAACATCTGTTCATTTTAAATGGCAGGAGATGACACAGCACGGTGACTAGGTAGTGCTGTTTATAACCGAACCTGTGCCAGTGCCAGAACGTCTCACGTGGAATTCTGGGCAGTTTCTGGTGCTGGGGAAGAAAATGATGTGTCCCCAGAGCAAAAGGGTCAGGAGACCTCATGAATCATGAGTCTTAGTAGCCAATTTGCTCTAATAATGCATATGTCACCCTGAGAGGAAAAGGAGGCACCACACGGGGACAGGGAGAGACTCAGATTCTACACGATGACAGAAAAGAAGGGCTTTCTTTCTGTCTCAAAACGAATGTGAAAAAAAAAAAAACAACAAAAACATGAGAAATTGGACTTCCTCATCTCTTGGGGCTTACCAATCTTTTCTAAGCCAAATAGCAAAACGAAGTGCTGTGATATTTTCTTGTGATGAAGTCATCTCATTTATTAGTAAATAACCAAACAACCCTCAGTCCCAAACCTCCCACCCCTATCAGTCCGTCAATGTGACATCTCAAATTGGAACCCAAACCATATTAAACAATTTTCCTTTGGGGCCTGACAAAAATGTTTAAAGTATGATATTTTTGAAAATGTTGCAATTCTAGGGCATATTGTATTAGCCTCTATTGTTTTTTCCATTTTCATAATTTGTAGCAACGCCAGCAGGAAATCTGTAATCCTGACATTTCCTACCTTTTGTTCTGATGCTCTAAGAATCCAAGATCACAGTGGAAGAGGTTCAAAGTGAAATGAAATAACCTTGAAGCTCAAAAGGCTCCTTGGTGATGCATTTTTTTCATGCTTAAGGCTCTCGTGCCAAGACACAGGCATAATCAAGGAACTGTGCTTTTTAACAGAACTGCATTGAAATCTATAGGTACCAGCTTTGCTCTTGGTATCATTTTTCTAGGAAAGAAGCGGGACTTAAGATCCATCTCACATCTGAAAAGAGTTGAGAACAGGAGTTTCCACTGAGACTTAAAAAACTGTATCCCTGAGTCTCATGATTATTTTATCTCGAGCCCTCACATTCTAATTTAATTTCTGGTTACTCTTTAAAAAAAATCTAACTATTCTTTAAAAACCCTCCTAACTTATGTGAAGTAAAAACAATTACTAGATTTAGACTTAAGCCTAACATAAGCACTTAAGTGGAAAATGCAATTATGATAGTAGGCACGTGTGATAGAGTCCACAGTTGATGAAAGTTGCCTGCCAACTTGGTTCAGTTTTGATCAGGGACAATCACTGAACCATCCCAAGTGTCTCTTTGGAAATCCTTTTTTAAAAAAAGTTTCTTGTCTAATTTAAGACTTTAAAGAGTCTCGCTCACCTTCCTGGGGCTCTGGCTATACGTGCTCAAGAAGTGATGTCTCTAAGACAATGGAGGTGGGAACCGTATAAGCATCAATGTGAGTGAGGTGTTATCAGAATGAATATGGGGTAGAGTGGAATTTTAATAAAGAATGTTTGCTTATATTACTAGTTTTGAGAGATTACTGGTCAAAAAAATATCAAAATGGTAAAGTAAGTTTGTAAAGTCCACATATTCTCTCAGATTTACTATACACGTAAGCTCTGAGAAACCCCACACTAAGGAGATGTGTTTAAAGCTTATGCAAGTCTGCATTCCCCTAAGGAACTACCCCTCTTGCCTGCTTCCTGGCACACTGTGGAACACGCTAGCATCCTGTGCCAAGATAAGAGGAAGCAACCATCTTCTAGAACAATATTCAGTACATTTTTTGAGCACCTTCCATACACAAAGGGCTTATAACTCATGTTATTCTAGGTAATTTCATCCTCACCAGAACCCTTTGAGTTGGATATTAGTATTCTCACTTTACAGCTGTAAATTGAGACTCAGAGAAAATAATTAACTAGGTCACATAGCAATTTTGGACTCTTCTATATGACTTTGAAGCCTCTGAACATGTACACAAAACTCTCTACTACCTTTCCTCTGTTTTCAAGTGCGATGGTCTGAGACACTGATCTCTTTTTATTTGATGGAAATATAATCCTAGTTTCTTTAAACATTTTTTTCTATTACAGTTAATATACAATATTATATTAATTTCAAGTGTACAACATCATGATTAGACATGTGAATAACTTACAAAGTGATCATCCCAATAAATCTAGTATCCATCTGACACCATACGTGGTTACTACAGTATTATTGACTATATTCCCTATGCTGTACTTTACTGTGTGACTATTTTTATAACTGCCAGTTTATACATCTTAATCCATTCCCCGCTTTTTACCACTCCTGCAACTCCCCCTCCAATCTGGAAATCATCAATTTCTTCTCTGTATCTATGAGCTTGTTTTGTTTGTTTGTTTTGTTTTTTTGATTACACATATAAGTAAAATCACATGGTATTTGTCTTTCTCTGTCTGACTTATTTCACTCAGCATAATACCCTCTAGGTTTACCCATGTATCAAATGGCAAGATTTCATTCTTTTTTATGGCTGAGTAATATATCACTGTATATATGTCCCACTGCTTTATCCATTCATCTATGCATGGACACTTAGGTCGTTGCCATATTGTGACCATTGTAAATAATGCTGCAATGAACAGAGGGGCGCATATATCTTTTGAAATTAGTGTTTTGGATTTCTTTGGAAAAATATCCAGAAGTGGAATTGCTGGGTCATATGGTAATTCTATTTCAATTTTTTGAGGAACCTTCATACTGTTTTCCATTGTGGCTATACCAACGTACAGTCCCACCAGCAGTGCATGAGAGTTCCCATTTCTTTACATCCTCGACAACACTTGTTTCATTTCTTGATGACAGCCATTCTGACAGCTGTGAAGTGACAGCTTATTGTGGTTTTACTATGTACTTTCCTTATGATCAGTGATGTCGAGCATCTTTTTATATGTCCATCGGCCATCTGTATGTCCTTTTTGAAGAAATGTCTATTTGGGTCTTCTATCCCATTTTTTAAAAAGGTGATTATTTGATTTTCCTGGTGTTAAGTTGTATATTTTGTATATTAACCCCTTATGAGATAGATGAGTGGTGAATATCTCCTTCCATTCCATAGGTTGTCTTCTTGAATTGTTGATGGTTTCCATCACTGTGCAAAAATTCTTTAGTTTGATGTAGTCCCATTTGTTTATTTTTTCTTTCGTTTCCCTTGCCCAAGAGAGATTTCAAAAAAAAAAAAAAATTACTAAGAGTGATGTCACAGAGTTTACTGCCTATGTTTCCTTCTAGGGGTTATATAGTTTCGGGTCTTAAATTTAAGTCTTTAATCCATATGTGTCTGTTTTTATGCCAATATCAAGCTGTTTTGATTACTACAGCCTTTAGTAGTAGTATTTAATATCAGGTAGCATAACTACAATTTTGTTCTTCAAGATTACTTTGGCTATCTGGATTTTTTTGTGGTTCTATATAAATTTTAGGATTATTCTAGTTCTGTGAAAAATGTCATTGGTATTTTGCTAGGGATTGCAGTGAATCTGTAGATTGCTTTGGGTAGTATGGACATTTTAACCACGTTAATTCTTATTTATGAGCACAGGATATCATATCCTTCCATTTATTTGTGTCTTTGTCAATTTCTTTCTTCAATACCTTAGCTTTCCAAGTACAGGTCTTTCACCTTGTTGGTTAAATTCATTCCTAGGTTTGATTTCATTCTTTTTGATGCAATTATAAATAGGTTTTCTTAATTTCCCTTTCTGATAGTTTGTTATTGATGTATAAAAGTGCAACTGATTTCTGAATATTAATTTTGCGTCCTGCTATTTTACTGAATTCATTTATTCTAATAATACTCCATTGGATTCTTTAGGGTTCTTTACATACAGTATCATGTCATTTGCAAATAATGAGTTTTACTTCTTTCCAATCTGGATGCTTTTAATTTCTTGTCTGAATTCTGTGACTAGGACTTCCAATACTGTGCTGAATAAAAGTGGTGAAAGTGTACAACCCTGTCTTGTTCCTGATCTTAAATATAAAGCTTTCAGCTTTTCTCCACTGAGTATGATGTTAGCTGTGTTTTTATTATGTTGAGGTATGCTGCATCTATCCCACATTGCTGAGAGGGTTTTTTGTTTTTTGTTGTTGTTGTTTTTTTTTTTTTTTTTACCATAAATGGGTGCTGGATTTTGTCGAGTGCTTTTTCTGCATCTGTTGATATGGCCGTATTTTTATCCTGCATTTTGTTTATGTGATGTATCATGTTAACTGATTTGCAGATATTGAACCAACATTTCATTCTAGGAATAAATCTCATTTGATCATGATACCTGATATTTTTAATGTATTGCTGAATTCAGTTTGCTAATATTTAGGATTTTTGAATCTATGCTCATCAGGGATATTAGCTTTTCTTTTATACTGTCTTTGGTTTTGGTATCAGGGTAATGCTGACCTTGTAAAATGAAGTTTGGGAGCCTTCCTCTTACACTTTTGAAGAAAATAGGTATGAATTCTTTTTTTGAATGTCTGGTAAAAAGTTACCTGTGAAGATATTTGGTTCAGGGATTTTGTTTGTTGGGGTTTTTTTTGATTACTGATTTAATTTCGTTAGTAGTTATCAGTCTGCTCAGATTTTCTGTTTCTTCCTGAGTTAACCTTAGCAGATTTTGTTTCTAAGAATTTATCTATTTCTTTCAGGTTGTCCAATTTGTTGGCATATAATTGTTCATAGTTCTTCTTTATAATCATTTGTATTTTTGTGGTGTCAGTTGTCACTTCTCTCATTTCTCATTGTATTTATTTGGGCCCTCTCGTGCACATGACGAGTCTGGCTAGATGTTTACAGTTTTGTTTATCTTTTCAAAAAACCAACCCTTAGCTTCATTTATCTTTTTTACTATTTTTTTCTTAAACTATTTCATTTATTTCCACTCTTATCTTTATTATTCCCTTCCTTCTATTCACTTTGGACTTTCTTCTTTATTAGTTCATTTATGTATAAGGCAGATTGTTCATTCAGCTAACCTATGTCATTTGTTTGGAGCATTTAGCCTATTTACATTTAAAGTAATTATTGATAGGTATGTAGTTATTGCCATTTTATTAATTGGTTTCTGACTGTTTCTGTAGTTTTCTATTCCTTTCTTATTCTCTTGTATGTCGATGACTTTCTAGAATGTTATGTTTGAATTAATTTCTCTTTATTTCTTGTATATCTTTTATAGATTTTTGGCTTGTGGTTGCCATGTGCTTCGTTATAACAAGCTACATTCATAGCAACCTAGTTCTTGTTGATGGTCACTTAAGTCTGAACACATTCGAAAATCAATCAACCCCTCCACATTTATGTTTTTATCATTATATTATTTTGTGTTTGTGTGTACCTCTTAATTATTCTGATTACACATGATATTCCTACTTTTGCCTTTTAACCTTTGTACTAGTTTCATAGTTGGTTGATTCACTGCTTTTGTTGTGTTTGTCTTCAAGGTATTTTTTCTTTCTTATATTTTCTCACTCATGTTTTTGATCTTTTTCTTTTCCTAAAGAAGTCCCTTTAACATTTCTTGTAATAGTGGTTTAGTAGTGATAAACTCCTTTAGTTTTTACTTTTTTTTGAAACTCTTTTTCTCTTCTTCGATTCTAAATGATAACTTTGCTGCATAGAGTAATCTTGGTTCTAGGTCTCTATTTTTCATCACTTTGAATATTTCATGCAAATCTCTTTTGGCCTGCAAAGTTTCTGTTGAGAAACAAGCTACAGTCTTATGGGAGCTCCACTATACATAACTAACTGCTTTTCCCTTGCTACACTTAAGAGTCTCTCTTTGTCTTTAATCTTTGGCATTTTAATTATGATGTGTCTTGGTGCGAGCCTGTTTTAATTCATCTTGTCTGGAACTTTCTGTGTTTCCTGGGCTCATATGTCTACTTCCTTTGCCAGGTTGGGGAAGTTTTCTGTCATTATTTCTTCAAATAGGTTTTCAGTTCTTTGCTGCTTTTCCCTCCTTTTGGTACCCCATGATGCCAATGTTAGTACACCTGATGTTGTCCCATAGGTCTCCTAAACTATCCTTATTTTGCAAATTCTTTTTTCTTTTTGTTCTTCTGATTGGGTGTTTTCCACTACCTTGTCTTCGGATTGCTGATTTGATCCTCTGCTTCATCAAATCTGATTTCGATTCCCTCTAAAGTATTCTTAATTTCAGTTATTGTATGCTTCATTTCTGACTCATTCTTTTTTGTGTTTTCTATCTCTTTGTTGAAGTTCTCACTGAGCTCATCTATTCTTCTCCTAAGTTCACTGAGCATCATTATAACCAGTATTTTGAACTCTGTATCTGGTAGATTGCTTGTCTCCATTTCATTCTGTTCTTTTTTTGGAGTTTTGTCTTGTTCTTTCATTTGGAACATGTTTCTTTGACTCCTCATTATGACTGACTCTATGTGTTTGTTTCCGTGTATTGGTTAGGTCTGCTGTGTCTCCAAGTGTTGGCAGGATGGCCTCATGTAGTAGGTGTTTTTGTGGGGCTTAGTGGTGCAGTATCCTTGGTGACATGAGCTGGGTGCTCCAAGGCACTTCCTTGTGTAGGTTGTGTCTGACCTCCTTTTGTTGTTTAGCATTGATCGCTATTGACACATCAGTGGCGGGGGCGGGGTGGGGGAGACTGACCTGTAAGATGACTCGCTGTGAGAAATGGCCATCACTATAGTGGACAAGTTGTTGTGCGGAGGCTGACCCAACAGTATGGGATTGCTTTAGTGTGGTTCTGGGGCTTGCCAGGTTTGCCCTGTGAGTATGTTGTTCGTGGAGCTGTTTGGGTGATGTTCTGGCATTGTCCGAAGCTGGCCACTGGGTGTTTGATTTGTGGAGACTCTTGGGAGAGGCTTCAGTGAAGGCCAAGGTCAGCCTGTACCTATGTCCTACCTGGGGCCACCCGTTAGGATCTAGAAAGTGATCTATGGTAGGCTGCCACCTGAGCTGGACTTGGAGGTACCTGGGAGAAGCTAGGCTGTGAACTGAGGCTGGCTGCCACTAGTGTCTGACCTGGGGCCTCTTAGCAAGAGGTATGGAGCACACAAAGGCCAGCTGCTGCTTGTCTGGGGTTTGTGGACCTTTAAGAGATTTTAGGAAAGTCTTCAGATGAGCCAAGGCAGGCTGCTTGTGTGAAAAAGCTGCTGGAAGCTACTCAGGCTGGGCAATCAAGTAGGATGGGGCGGGGTCTTGGAATTACCAGAACAGGGTGAATGATGTAGCCAAGTTAATGGAGAGCTCAGATTTGGCTGCTTCCTGGGCTTGCTGGCTGGGCTGGGAGAGGGCTCAACAGAGGAACAACGGCATCTGCCCACACTGCTGTCCTCTGAGAAAGCAACCCTTATTCTTGGCCCTCCAGACCTGGCCTTGAAGGTAATCAATCCTTCCCATATGTCTCTAGTTCTTTTTTAAGCTGTTGCTGCTGTGCTGGAGCTCAGGGTAAGCTTGAGAGCCTGTGCATTGTTTCTTTAAAACCCCTCGCCCCTCAGGGGGGACCTCCACAGCCAAGATATCCCTTCCGTTTCTTAACCACCACACCATAGGTGTGGGGCCTGACCATTGCATGTCTCTGCCCCACCTACCAGTCTCAACATGTCTTCTTTATATCATTAGTTACAGGAATTCTGTTCAATTGGTCTGCAGGTGTTTCTCAGTGATGGCTGTTTTATAATTTAGTTGTAATTTTGATGTGGTCATGGGAGGAGGCAAGCACTGTGATTAACTACTCTGCCATCTTGATTGGAGGTCTCTATTTCTAGGTTCTTATGTATTATAAAGATCAGTTGTTCACTGGCTTTATTTCTAGTTAAATCATGTATACTAAACCCTATATGAAGTCAAGCAGACTCAGACCTGAAACTTTGGATCCCAGGAGTGGCGAGTGGTAAAGCATTTCGTCTATCTCAGCCATCTCCCTATTTCTAGCATGCTTGGGTTTCCACTTTAGAAGCTGGTCTGCACTCTGTCACTGCCAAGCCATTAGACTTCTCCTCCTGTTGTACAGGTGCTATTGACATGCAATAAACAGAAATAAACATGACTATTGATGATGAGGGTCAATGTAAAAAAATTTATCCACTGAAGTTTCATTTCTTCTAAAATAAAAACTGTATGTCTCATCCCTCTCTTGCAATCAGAAATAGATTTGGTTCACATAAGAGAATTAAATGACTGTTTTGAAAATGAGTATTGCTATAGTTTGATATGATAGATTATCCTTCCCCCACGACAAAAGATTGCCTGACTTGGTAACAGCTGAAAATCATTTAGGTTGGGAATTTCATTTTTTCCCTGGCTAACTGACCCGTCGTATATCCTCTAAAGTCCTTTTACTAATTTAAAACAGAAGTACAAAAATAACTCCACATAATAAACAGTTTAATAAATATGCCTAGGAGCTTGTGAAATAGTAGTTGGTCCTAAGCTTTGAAAAATCAGTATTTTAGTTAACTAAATTAAATATACATCCTCAAAGCAGGCTTGTTAAAATAGAAAGTTGGGTAATGTGAGATGGAATAGCTTAAAGTATTGCTAATGGTAAATCGAGAGCCATTTGTCCTTACACTTAAGCAGACTATGCCATTGAGCCAGGTTTCCTACTGTGTGAAGACAATTTGATAGCGCCTCCCAGTGCCAAGAGCTACGTTCACACAGAACCAAAGAGCATGGGGGTCCTGTGTGAGTGTAGTCTATGGTCCTGAGGACAAGATATTGCGGGAACCTATGCTGCTGACCTTGACGGACTGTTTTGAAGTTGAAGGTCTGGAAGCCACCTGTCAATGCAGAAGAGTCAATGACGTCCACGCCATAGTCACTCTGGCTCCGTCTATAAAGGGTGATGCCAATGACCAGGACTGCAACGGCCACGACTGCAGCGCCCAAACCCGAGTACAAAGCAATGTCGCTGGCATTCTCAATGCCTGAAAGACACAAGAGAAATCCTAAATGGCCAACATGGGCATAGAGCCAAAGAGCCACCCCGGGATACAAAATGAAATGTTATTGGATTTTTGGAGCTAATGCTCAGAGAAAATGACATATGCAGTTAGCCACAAGTTGTACTCTCTTTCACACAATAATCATGTTTCTAAAATACCTTACATAAATCAAAGGGATGCTAGTCAAGTATCTTAACTGCATTAAGGTAGCTTACCATGTAATAGAATCTTGAATCAATTTTTCAAAGAATATAATATTTTTCAAGCAAAAAAAGGCAACTTCTTAATTACTTGTTTTAGGAAGTCAAAAGTGTTTTTTTTTTTAAATATTTTATTTTTACTTTTTATTTGAGGGAAGACATGAGATCCACATACAATGACAAAATATGGGTGAACTGCTCTACTTGTATATGACCTGGGGCACATGCATTCACAGAGAACAGTCTGGGGTGAGAAGATAACACATGGTCTATGAGTTGAGAGAGAGAAGACCAGAGCTCACAACGATGACTTTTAGCTTTGGCACACGCCATTCAGTTTAAGAGAACATTGACGACATTGGTTTAGGATATAAACAGTTATGAGAGTTTTCTGTTGTGAGATATGAAAAGGTTTTGGTCCTAGGTGCTATTATGTCCATGGTAAATGTTTTCTAGCACCAATTAAATGCTAGAGTCTAATACTTTTTTTTGCGGAAGAGGACTGGTATCTAAGAGGGCACATGCTGTTTCTCCCATACCTCTCCTACTCCATCCTATTGAATGCATGGGCAAAGCAAAAATAAAAGCGTTAGTTTGAATTTAGAATGTGGCTGTCTCCCCATCCCCCAAGATATGTCGTAGCCACTTTTCAACTCTTTTGCTAGATGCACATTGGGTGTGGTTCATTCCTAAAGAGATTCATAAGGGCTATTACAATTCAGCATAAAATTTATCCAATACTACACAATCCTAAATGAGGTGTAATCTTGGAAAGTATATGGAAGTGGAAGGTGGCAAATGCTAACTGTGTAACTAATCTCCCTACAGATTATGTGGTCAGTACACTCAATAGGTCCAAAAGTAATTGCTGTGTCATCCTGTGTTGGGCTTAGAGGATAAAATAAAACCGTCATATATTTACCTTGTAATTGCATCGCACTTACTATGCATTCACCTCACCCTAATATAATACTTATGTTATCAAATGAGCAATACTAACCACACAAGTAAAGTGAATTTATTTTCAACAAAGTTAATGAATTGTAAAATAAAGTGCTACCAAATTAAAGCATAAACAAGGAAATCAAGCAGAACCTGTTTGGTAATAGGGCAGTAAACATATAAAAATAATTTGTAAGGGAGAGCACGACCATCTGAAAGAACAAGATCTGAATGGTCAGAAGATTGTCAGACACTTTTAATAACTACAATAGCCTAGGAGGTGTTGAGAAACAGGGTGTGACTTAAGCTTTAGTTCAACTCCATGATGGCCCAGGTGGGAGAGGGATAGGGATGGGGGCTTCTGTGGTCATCTTCTCTGACCACCCAGAACCATGGGCATGATGGTTGACGCCAACTCCAAAGTTCCAATGTCTGCCTTTGTCACATGCGGAAGGGAGGAAGGCAGCTATCATCCTACTTGCATCTCACCCTCCCTCTACTCAATTCAGTTCCTTGGAGGGAATAATTAATTATACTCAGAGGGAAGAAAGGACACAAAACAAGGCAGATACTGTAAGCCAGGGGCAGCGAGAGAGCTTTGGATTGAAACCAATTGGCCTTTTCCCCCTTCCCTCCAGTTCCTTGAACATTGATGACTGATGACACTATCATCTTAAAAGGTGTATCTGGGGAGAATACACCTGCTCAGCAACTGAATACATACAGAGAAACAGCCTGGCAGTGTGCTGAATGCAGCTGCTCTGTTGCTGAGTTGGCAAAGTACAGACAAAGACATCTTTAGCTTCCCAGGTACTACAATAGGAAGGACCAGAGCCAAGAAGATGACTAGGGAAAAATGCTTCTGCTGAAAATGGACATCACTGGACACTAACATCTTGAGATAAAACTGAGAAACAGGAACAAATTGTCTTTGCTCCTCTGAATTTTTATCTTTTCTGTATGTTTCCACCTCCTTGCTACGCAGGTAACCAGGTAACCAAAATTCTCTTCTCTCCAGATGCAAATCTTGTGTTTAGGAAAGAACTCTACATATGCCTCAGATTGAGGTTTAAATGGAATTGAAGTTTGATATAGATCATTGTGTTTCCTCTCCCAGGGATGTATGCAGAATCTATTTGACTTACATACAGGGAATGAAATACTGAATTACAGAATTTTTTAAAAAAAATGAGTAGAGGGACTTTGGGGATAGGATGGGGAAAAAAGACCTGTGTGGAGAGCACTGCATCCTTATAAGGCTCACCCTGGCACTTGGTGGGACAGTCTGATCTAAAAGCCAGAAGTCAATGGACTCCTATAGAAAGATAAACAAAGTAGTATTTATTTTACAAGAACAATCCATCTTGGGAATTAGAAAGTTCAGGATCTAATATTTTCATTCATTCAACAAATATTTGTTGAGAGACAACCATGCAATGGAAACGAGATGCGTGGATGAATCAATGCATGGTCCATATTCTCAGTTATCTCTTGTCTGAAAGTGGTAAATCCTGGTATCCAGGTGCAGCTACAGAGGTAGATACCAGTACTCAAGGCCTCATGTATATGTCTCAAAAGATTTAATTAGACATCCTTACCCACATCTCAAATTCTTCTAAAGTTGGGACACAGTGCTTCTTTCTTCTTTCTCTTCTCTTTTTCCTCTTCTCTACATTTTACTTCACCTCATTCTTTTTTCTCTTTTTTCACTCTCTACTCAACTATTGTTTAATCTGTCCTTCCAGGAAAGTAGAGTGGTTTTCCCTATGAGGATTTCTCCGTGCTCACAGACATCATCCATTAGCTTTGCACATGTGTTCAGGACTGGCCCCTGCAGAACCTGAGGTTTGGTTCCACATTTGCCACTACAATCTCGTGAGAGAAGGGAGAAAGCTTAGGGTATACGTGTCTGTGAGCACATGGGCACTTGGAGGGGTGCCGCTGCAGAGTCATCATACATGTGTGCAAGTGTGTATACATGCACAACGGACACACACTCAGCTACTGTCAGAAGAACATCAGAAGCCAGTACTGCTCCATCCCAGGGGAATTGTTCTAGCAACATGACTACCAGGTACAGGCACTTCCCAGGGCCTGACAGTTTCTCCCCATCCATTCCTATATTCTTGCTCTCCTGTGCTGTACTGCCATATACCCCAAAATCAACTGTAATTAATTTCTAGCTAGGTAGATGCCTGCTAACTAAAGGACCTGTGTATTTTCAGTGTAATATATCTGGGCACTACTTGTCAGGTATCAGCTCAAGGTTCCCCTCTCCCAAGAAAATAACTCTGTCTTGGCCAATCTAGCCAATCCTGTCAACCTATGCTCTTCTAAGCTCTTATGTCATTTACGGTTCCTAGAGCTCAGTTTGGATCATACTTTTTATTATTAATTATCTGAATGCCAATGTATTCTTCCTAACTGCTTTAAACTCTTCAACAGCGGTATCGTCTCTATAATTTCCCACAGACATTTGCAAATCATTTTGTGCAACTATAGTGATTGCTTGCCTGGACTCAAACTGTGGGAAGAGAAGTATTAAAGGAATCATAGTCTGCTGTTGATTTTAGAACCCCCTGCCACAGGGACTCTCTTTTTTCTCTACCTTTACACACATGTGTTTATACCCGTCTGCTTGCTCGCACACACATGTGCTGCTGGTTTGTTTCCTCAAAGTGATTTCCAACAAAAGTGCTGAAACCTGTGACTGATCAGGTTATTCTGCTTTTTGTAAGCACAGGATACTTTTCTCTGACTTTGTTTCACAGACGAAGCTATACATCTTAATGTCTTATTGATGTTTTTCTTGTGTTTTCATCCCTATCTTCCTCTATCCAAGAGTTACAAAAGCTTTAGGGAACGTTTGGAAGGACCCAACATATGGTAGACTTAATTGTTGTACACAATGTACAGGTTAGAGAAAAAAAACAACATAAAACCCAAGAACTGACTTAAAAATCACTTGTAGTCCAAATTATTCAGAAAGTACTGAGCAATATGTTCAATAGAGAGTTGGAAACATAGAGAGGAAATATTTATGGGTTCATTTGGCCTGGAAAAAGAAAGCTGTAAAGTGACTATGGAGAACTTTAATGCAGGAAAGGTTGTTACAAGAAGAGAATAGGTCCACAGTAGGTGCTCAGTGACCCTTCATTTACGATGAAGCTAGTAACCAACTCTTCCGCCATCTCTAACAAGCAATGAAAAGAAGGACGTGGCCTTTTATTCTAGCAATTGGGACTCTGGTTAGATATTAAAATGACCTTTTCTATAGTGAGGGTTGTTAAAAACCCATACTGTATTTCTGAGGGAGACTGTGAAGTCTCCTTTCAGGAAGTGTCTGAAAAACAGCATGACTTAACAATAGTCTGCAGTTATTTATTTATTTTTTTGGTCAAAGCTAGTGAGAAGAGTTAAATGACCTTTCAAAGCACCTGGGAACTTCATCGTTCAAGGAGTAGGTATTAACAAGTGTGATGCCTTAGTTATTTGTAATAACCAGTGTCCCCAAATGATTAAATAGAAGGGCCGTTTACTTAGTTTGCCATTCTCTCTTCTCATGACACCATCTGTAAGACATAGTAATGATACTTACTAACGAAAATTTAACTTAATAACCATGTTATCAGCTTAACTATATATCAGATTAGAATCTACTTTACAGGATTAGAGAGCTACCCCAAAATTAATAAAGAAGCTCAGCAAATGCCTTTCAAAACATAGGATATTCTGTTTTATCTCCTATTAGATATTAGAGAATGAACATTGATCCCCTTTCAGAAAAAACAACCTGAATTGGTATATATGAGTCAGTGAATTACTAAGGAATCCTCACAA